TCTTTTTATGAACTAAATAAGATTTTGTTCAGGTGTCTGCCCCTCATCTCCAATGGTTTTATCAGAGGTGGGAGGAGGCGACTGGCAGCCTGGTCTTGCTTTTTGTCTGTCAGCTCTTCCTGATAAACTCATGTTGTGTCACCTGACACCTTTCTGGGTCTGGTTTCCCGCTCTTTATCTCCCTTTGTCATCTTACCTTTATTGCTGAGTCTAACTGCAGAAGCAAAAGCTACTTTTAGTAACACTTTTTTTTTTTTTAGTAATTTCTGTAGGAAAGCTTAACAAGGCCATTGTTTTTTCTCTCCCTGCCTATTGACCACCTTTCCCTACAACCATGTAGCCTTTGGAGGCTGACCAGACCGCTATCTACTGGTGCCTTAACTTTAACAGCCTTGAAAACGGATCTAATTTTTAACTCCCAAGCTCTTGGTATGCTTGCTAACCCCTAAGACTGAGACCTGGCTTCTCTATCTTAGCCATCTACCGATGGCTGTCAGGTGAGTATCAGATGACTTCTAATTTGTTACAGGAGCTATCTACATGCTAAATGAGGCATCCCCTACCCCAGGGCCATCAGTACAGGCAGCACCACTAGGGCAGTGGGATGACTCTCCCTCCATCCACCTGAATTTGGACAACAGCCCAGAGGCAAACCGTTTCCATCGTCCCAAGAGAAGAGTAACAGAGCTAGGCGGTCCCAAGCTTCAGCCAGAGTACTGGTGGGCTAGACCCCATGGCCTGCGTACGGTAACCTTTCCTCACTTTAACTTCAAGAATGACTCACGCGGGGGGCTGGGGGTTTAGCTCAGCGGCATAAGCACCTGCCTTGCAATCAGGCGGTCGTGAGTTCGATCCCTGGTACCGATAAAAATGAAAAAGACAAAACAAAACAACAAAAAAAAGAATGACTCACGCGCAGGACCACGTGTCATGCATGTGATTGAAACAGTGAATTCTGGGAGCGTCATCCTCACCAGATGCCCCCTGAGGTCTCTCAGCACCTGTCAATCATATCCAGAGGGGTCCAATGAGAGGCTCCGGGGCGGAGCCACCTCTTCTAAACCTAACAGCCTGGCTTATTTTCGCTCCTCCTCTTCCCCCTCTGTCCTGGTATCGCTGTGTTCCTTGATCCAGCTGCCTCTTTGTTTCTCCGGGCGTGAACCCTCGCTCCCCGAGTGCACATCCCTGTAAACTTCAATGAATGTAGCTGCTTTTTCTTTTACCACTGGGTGTATTCTTACTGTTCTTTGCTTGATGCACACTGGAACCTGGAGTCTCTTTTCTGGAGGGGCAAATGACAGTTGAGAATTGCCATGATGATGACTCTAGAGAAGCCCAGAAGGTGTAAAAACAGGCAGCACCTGAATTCTTAGAAAAATCTCCACTGATTCCTAGAAAAGACATGGTTGTTTCTCCCCTTCGTGAACTTACTCCTCCCCCTCATTTCTTACCTTACAGCTATAACCTTCCACCCCCATCTCAGGGGTGAAGAATTTGGTTTGTAAACTTACCTTCCATCTGTTCTATTCTTTTTTATTTTTTTATTTTATTTTATTTTATTTTATTTATTTATTTTTTTTTTTTGAGACGTCTCTCTATGTAGTTCAGGCCGGACTTGAGCTCACTTTGTAGCCCAGGCTGGTCTCAAACTTGAAACAATCCTGCTTTGGCCTCCCAAGTGCTGAGATTACAGACGTGAGCCACCACGCCTGGCTCTATCTCTCCTATTAGGCAAAAATAAAAGTCTCTTTTCGCTGCTGAAGTGATGTTCAGTCTTGTTATTAGTTCTACAATTCCAAGAGGGAAACAAGATCCAGCGGGGTCAAAAAATAGGCAGTGTTTTCAATTTACACTGACTTGGTCTGTGTGTGACCACCTCCTTAAGTGGAGAACCATCTATAGATACCACACTTCCTAGTCATGATCGGAACCACTTCCTGAGGCTTTTGAATTGTTTTGTTTGTTGTGTAGAAGTTGTACTAGTATCACTGGGAGTCCTGATGAAGGAAAGACAGAGAGACAAGACAGAAGCGAGGCGCTCTGGCTCTGAAGCTGCAGGAAGCAGCCTGCATGCGGAGTGCAAGAGGAGTGCGGGTTTAGAAGCAGGAGGGGCCGAGTGACAGATTCTCCCCTTCTGGGGCCGAAGGGATGGCCCTGCCCGCACCTTGACCTTTATCCAGTGAAACTGATTTTAGGCCCCAGAACAATAGAGAACAACTTTGTACAGTTGTATGATTGTCCTAGCTGTGACAGATGCCATAGGAAGCAAACACACTCCCTCCCTGGGGCCTGATCTCAAGGGACTGGGTGGGAAGGGACAGCTGGCAGTGAGGGGTGGGGAAGATGAGGTCAGGGAGAAGGAACTGACTGTGGCCACCTATTTCTGCCTGGAGCTGGTGGGGGTGACGTGCAAGTCACAATTTCAGCAGGCTTAGCAGCCTGTAATAATAAGAAGCTTCAATGGCTTCCAGAGGCTTCTTTCAGAAGATAAATTAGACTTCCTGGTATTTCAGGAATTCACATCTGAGTATGTGCAGACCTTAGCAGACTTACTAAGGGTCCTTGGGATTTCATTTAGTGTCCACGAGGATACTCAAAGTAGTCTCCACTTGAAGAGCCTCCAGTTAATCACACCTACAAAGTCCTTATATTTTGGGGTGCACATCCCTCCAGGGCTCCCCTTGGCCTTTGGGCCTTGAGCTGTGTGTTCCCTCCAACAGACGGTGGCTGCAGGGCTCTGCCAGCTCCCCCAACCCCTGTGCAGCAGTAGCTGGGCCCCAGGCCCCGGCAGTCTCAGGAGGATGGGTCGCACCCCTGTCTGGGCCTTCGTCAGCCTAGCATTGAACCCCAGCTCTGGCACTTTGTAATTGTTGGCCCTTGTGAGAGGAACTTACCATTTTGTGCTTGACTTGGTCTTGAAAAAGTACTTCTGAATGTTTAAAATAAACCAGCAGTGTGTGACCCACAAGCTTGAGGCCCAAGCTCAGCCCTTTAGAGAGGAAGTCTCCCCCCCACCACCCCCCACCCCCAGCTGGGGCTCCTTGGATTTGAGGTGGGGGTGGTTGTCAACCTTTTGTTGCTTTACACCCTCAGCTGAAACCGAAGCTCACTTGAAACTGAGGCTTTACTTTAGGGGCCAGGGATATAGCTCAGCAGCGCTGTGCCTGCCTGGCGAGCACCAGGTCATGAGTTTCTTCCCTGGTACCAAAAAAGAAAGAAAGAAAGAAAGTGGTACTTTGTAACTTCCTGCCAGCCTCCCGCCAAGGTAGCCAGAAGGCAGAGAGGTGGAAAGGATGAAGGCTTGGAATGCCAGCCAGGCCAGTCAGGGCAGGCCACCAACTTCTGTCACCTCCTCTCCCATCAGCTTGTGGGGTTTTTTTCCTCTTCTCTCTTTCTCTGTTTTTTGAGATAGGGCTTCACTCTGCAGTTCAGGCTGGCCTTACACTCATCGTGAACTTCCTGCCTCAGCCTCCCAAAGGCTAGGATTACAGGTGTGCAACATCATGCCCAGCCATGAATATTTTATTTGAAGATAAATATAGATTTGCATATATCTTTTCAGATTTATTTAGGTACTTATTTATTTATTGTTTTTTTAAACAGGATTTTGCTATGTAGTCCAGGCTGGCCTCAAATCTCTGTAATCCTCCTGTCTCAGCCTCCCAAGTGCTGAGATTACAGGCACCCACACCCACACCCAGCATTTGTGTAATTTATTTTTGTTGTACTAGGATTCAGACCCAGGGCCTTCGTGTGGGGTTACATCCCTAGTCCTTCATTTTTTAGATTTATTTATTTATTTTGAGGCAGGATCTTGGTAAACTGCTAAATTGTACAGATTGGCCTCAAATCCTCCTCCCTCTGCCTCCTAGACCGCTAGGGTTACATGAATGTACCAGCGCACCAAGCTTCAATGTGGAAAAGATTTAAGGCTTCCGAAAAAGCTGCACAAGTGGAACAGCACGACCCTTGTAGCTTTCACCTGCATTTTACTGTTCACTTGCTTTTCTTTTTTTTTCCTTTTTTCTTGGTACAGGGATCCAGCTGACAACCTTGCAATCACCAGGGAAGTGCTTGTACCAGTGAGCCACCTCCCCAGCCCTACTCTAACCCTAACCCTAACCCTAAACCTAACCTTCATCAACAGACAATGAAAGGACACATGGGGACGTGCTGTCCATCAGAAAGGCTTGTAAGTACTTTTTTTCTTCCTGTTTCAGGTAGTTCTGGTTGGTCCTGAACTCACTCTATGGGCCAGATTGACCTTGAATTCAATATCATCCTCTTGCCTCAGCCTCTCAAGCGCTGGGGTTGCGGGTGCCCACCCCCATGGGGCCTTGCTCCAAGCACTCATTTCTCTTGTGTGGGATGTTTTTCCCTGCCAGTCCTATTGCAGGACCAAAGACGTCTTAGCAGTAAAAAAACACACCCACAGCCAGACTGATCAGGCTTTCTCAGTCCCAGACCTTGGCTCCAAACTGGTCTTTCATCTCATCAGAGGCAGCCGAGTCCAGGCTGGGCAGGAGATGCTCAAGACAAGCCTGGAACATCCACTCACCGGGAGGGCAGGACGCTCCTGGAAAGCAGCGGGGATCCTGCTCGCCACGTCAGGGGCAACGTGAGCATCAAAATAAATAATCCTGGTGATGGATTGTAACCCACTGACGAAAATATGAATCTGTGAGTTCATGCTGACATACATAAAGGAAGTAAAATGTCTTTATAGAAAAGTGTCTGGCTCACACAGACCCCCCCTGGTTCTCATCCCCTGTGACAGGGTGTTTCTCGATGTTCTTTCTAGCTGGTGTTCCCTTCATTCCCTGGGGAGAACCATGGCTCCAAACAGGACTGTTGATTTACCTACTTAAACTGTATCTTCAGTGTTCACAAAATAACTTCAGGATTGATGTGTGCCCCAGTGCAAACTACTAAGGAAATGCCACTGTGTATTTGCAATTCTTTTTAGCTTAGGTGGTGCCCAGCATTTGAAGCACAAGAACTTTCTGATATGGATTTTGATGGATGCATGGGAGTCTCCCAGGAAAAGAACACCAGGCAGGGGGAAGCACGTGCAAAGCGCCTAGAGAATGAAATGGAAGTGTGGCAGCCTCACACACCCCCGTCCAACAGTCTGCACACAGTGAAGGGAAGTAATAAAGGGTGAGTGTGGGAACTGTGTGCCTGGAATGCCACTCAGGGAGCTTGGGACTGATGTGGCAGGCACAGGGAATCTCCAGAGGTATCAGGATTTAGAAAATGTGGAGGTTAGCCGAGCATAGTGGCGTGCTTCTGTATTTCCAGCACTCAGGAGGCTGAGAGGCAGGAGGATCACCCAAGTCTGAGGCCAGCTTGGATTACACAGGAAGACCTTGTCTCAAAAAAAAAAAAAAAAAAAGGAAAGAAAGAAACAAAGAAAAGAAAAAAAGAGACAGAGAGTAGTGCTAGGACTGGCAGGATGGTTTTGCAGCATCTTGCCTCAATTTATAATCTGTAATGTGAGTACAGGGGGCCAATTTCCAGGCTACAGGGAGAGCCCCCGGGACTCTCCCTGGGTGCTGATGGGGTCTGAGGCTGGGGACAGGCAGCCTGCAAGCTCTCCCTGCTCTGTGACATGTCTCTGCTTCCTGTTTCTCGCCCATCACGGGTAGTTTCAGTCTCAGCTTCAAAAGAACAAACACACTCAAAACAAAGGAAGCCAGTGGTGCCTGCAGAGGAAGCAGGAAGCCGCCAGTCCCGGGCCCTGTGCGGAGCCCGGCTGCCGGAGCTCAGGGACAGCACTGGGGACAGCGGGATGGAGTCCGTGGCCCTGTACAGCTTCCAGGCCACAGAGAGCGATGAGCTAGCCTTCAACAAGGGCGACACACTCAAGGTACAGTGGACTGGGCCAGGCGGGGCTGGCCCCACATGGGGCGGGTTAAGGACGGGGCCAGGACACTCCCTGCAGAGCTGTCTACAGTCATTGACTGTGAGATTGTGAATGTGCCAGCCAGTCTCTCTGAGCCTCAGTGTCCTCATCTGGGAAATGGAGAGAACTGGTGAGCCCTTCTTCGAGGGTTGTGAGAAGTGAAGGAGACACCATCACAGCAGTTGGTGGAGGTTGGATGAACTTCCCAGGTTTCCAGAAAAATATTTTGGAAAAGTTAGTGAGAGAGAGAGAGAGAGAGAGAGAGAGAGAGAGAGAAATGAAAATGGAGTTGGAATGAGACAATGCATGAGAGGAGATCTAAGGAAAGACATGAGCACACATGCTAACGCTGCTGGGCTTAAGTATCAGGCATGAGCTTCCCAGCAATGTGGAGAAAAGGGGAAACAGTCATGCACAACTCATTTCACCTGTCTGGACCTTGAGGACAGACGTGGCAGCCTTCCAGGACAGCCTGGCGGCAGGTCGGTGGAATCTCCCTTGGGCGTTGCCGTGCTTACCAGTCAGCATACAGCAGCATCACAATCCAGGGGCTGAGTCAAGATTCAGGAGAGGCCATGCCAAGGCTTGGGTGCGGGGAAGGTCACTGTCTCACCCTCCGCAAGCCACTGCCCTTCCCTGAGCCACCTCTTCCCACACGGGCCGTGGGTATCGGACCTGGTGTTCCTCCACTGCGCCCAGGCTCTGCTCTTGGCCCCAAGCTTAAAGCACTAAAAGGGACAGAAGCTTCCCTCTGTGGCCCCCCTGCTGGAGCTGGGCCCCTAACTCAGCAGTGCGCAGTGCACGTTACCCACTCTGAGCTGCAGGGGAGGGGGTCAGCACCATCATTTCCTTAAGCGGGGAGAGGTAGCGGGGAGGTGACACATCTTGTGTGATACGGTGTCAGACTTGAACCTAAGTCCCTTTGACTCTGGAGCTCTGAGTAGTGAGCTGTGGCCTGCACAGGAGGCCAGCAGTGAGATTTGCCATCAGGGGAAGGAGCCCCATGCTTGGAGAAATCCCCTCTTCATCCCAGGGCTCAGCCCCCAGGCTCCTAAGCTTTTGGCTCCAGGTCCCTGCACAGGTGGCGTCTGGCTCCGGAGCAGGCTGAGTACTGGGGCTGAGCACCCAGGTCCTGAAATTCTAAGAACCTCAGCTCCTCTCCTGAGAGCAGGTTGGGGTTTCCGGACCCAGGTTTGGGAGCGGGGTGAGCATGGGACTCTGGCCAACTAGATGGGGCAGATCAGGGGGTTCCCTGAAGCAACTGTTGAAAACCTTGTGACATCCGCTCTGGACTCCAGTGCCTCCAACTGCACCCAAGATGAGTCAAGTTTCACACTAACCTTTCCTAGAGGGACACCAGCCTGGGGCGGTGGGGCTGGCACCTAAGCAAGGTGCTAGCTGCTCAGGAAAGAGTGAGCTTGAGACCCTCCTGCCCTGGAGGGCAGGACCAGCTGGGTGGCAGGGCACGCAGCAGTGCCTGTGCACATGAAGGCTCCATAAGGCACAGGGAGTGTAGGCGGAAAGGTGCCGGTGGGGTCTCAGGGACTTGTGCATCTGGACTCTTGGGACCAAGGTGACAGGGAGTCCAGGAGAGCTGCCTTCCTCATTGCAGTGGCCCTGAAATACCAGCTGCTGTGCCAGGCTATGTATTCCGTGTTCATGTGAAATGTAGCATGCCCAGAGCAAGAGGGCAGGGGCCACTTCAGGTGGGCAGTTGGGGCAGTTTTTCTACTGAAGTGACCCCTGAACTACAGTGGAAGGATGGCCAAGAACCGGCCATGTGAGAAACTGGGGGAGAACAGCGCCTGGTCGGGAAAGAGCTGGTGCTTGAGGTAGGACCATCATAATAGTGTGAAGAGTTGGAAAAAATGTCTGTGATCAGACAGTAGTGAGTGGAACGTGAGGGGCAAGACTGAGGTGGGCGGGTGGCCAGGGGTCAGGGCCTGTTGTAGTCACTCTGTGAGGAATGAAGGCAGAGAAGACTAAGGAAAAATGCCTGACAGAAGTCACAGCATATTAATGTCCTTGATATGTAAAGAGCTCTTTTTTTCTTTTTTGTCTTTTTCGTTTTTATCGGTACTGGAGATCGAACTCACGACTGCCCGCTTGCAAGGCAGGCGCTTATGCCGCTGAGCTAAATCCCCAGCCCCTGTAAAGAGCTCTTACATATCAAATGTTGCCAAGGTTGTGGGAGGGTGTGGGAAAATATGCACTTTGCAGGAAATCAACTAGTAGATTGACACTATTGTTTTGAGGGTCATCTGGGAAGTATATGAAGATCTTTAGAAATATTGGCTAGGGGCTGAGGATTTAGCTCAGTGGCATAAGCACCTGCCTGGCAAGTGCTAGGTCATGAGTTTGATCCCTGGTACAAATATATATATATATATATATAGGCTAGGTAGAGTAATAAAAGTTTATAGTTTCAGTTTCATAGGAGGCTGAGACAGAAGGATCACTTTAGCCAGAGAGTTTTATGGCCAACCTGGGTAACATAGTGAGATTATGATCTCAAAAACAAAACAAAACAAAACAAAGCCCTGGGGCTCAGGAATTCTCCTTTGGGAATCAAATGTAATCAAAGCTGGGTGTGTGTTTCTGCATGATCAAAACTCGGGGTGCCTCTGACATGTTTGCATGCCATTCTCGAGGTACCAGCCAAGCACTAGGGGGGAAAACAGAAGTGGCGGGCTGCTGATATCCGGTGGCAGCTCTGAAGCACGAGGTAGACACAGAAATACAGCCCAGCGCTTGCTGGGTGCTGCGGGGAGAGATCAGGGGCGGGGAGACTGCTGAGTCTGCTTCGTCCTCTCCAGGTGGACAGCCTTTAAGTAATGGTAGCAAGTGTTAACCACAAAATGCCAGCTGGGGGGGGGGTTAATGACATCAAAATGCTCATTATGAAACACTGAGTGGCGAGAAGCAAAAGGCAAACCCGTGGCCACACGGAAGCCTCAGCTCTGCAGATGGTCTCGAGGGCCTTGGTTTGGGGAAGGAAACTGATACCAGGGGCCTGACTTGTGTTTTGAGAGTGCTGAGATAGAACCTGCTGTGCGACCTCACAGCTTCCAGGAGGAGCCCAGCCCTGGCTTGTCTCCTTTGTTACTCTCCCTGCTTTCCCCAGATGCTCTGCAATAAGTTGGCACCACCAGCCTTTCCTGTTCACAAGTTCTGCCTCTAGCGGTTTGATCAATCCCTGTCTTAGTTATTTTTCTTGTTGGTGAGACAAAATACCCAATTCCCAAGATTAAAGAGGAAGGTTTACCTTGGCTCACAGTTCCTCAAAGGCATCAAGGGAGAAAACCAGCCCATGGCAGAGCAGGGAAGGCAGAAGGCAGCCAGCAGCCAGTCCAAGTGAATGTAGCAGCTTCTTCCTGCCTTTTTCATACTCTGTCTAGGCTACCAGGCTGAGGACAGTGCCAATCAGTCAGTGGACTGATGTAGTAATCACATACCCTTCACCCCAACCTCACATACCGTAGATGCAGCCACCTCTGAAAAAGCCCCACCTGTGACCACATGAGGCTTTGGGAGGTCATCCAGACACAAGGTATAACAACCACAAATGGAAAATATTTGGGAAAAATTTCTTTTGCACCAAACATGTACAGATTTGTCACTATTCCTTAAAAAAGGTACAGTCGACTATTTACATGGTACTTGCATTGTACTAGGTGTTAGGAGTGATGTGCAGATGGTTTCAGGTACGTGGGAGGATGCGGATAGGTTGTATGCAAACACTACTCCACTTGCTATGAGGAACTTAAGAGTGTGTAATTCTCTGTTGGTTTGTTTTGTTTATTGTTTTTCGAGAGAAAGTCTTGCTATGTAGTTCAGGCTGGCCTTGAACTCGTGGTGATCTTTTTGCTTCAGTCTCCCAAGTGTTGGGATTATGGGTGTGCACCACCATGCCTGGCTGAGAGTCTGTAAATTTTGGAACCATAAGGAATCCTGAGGGTGGGTGTTTTGGAATCAGTTACTCCCAGATATCAAGGGATGACAGAATTCCCTGCAGGGCCAGGGTAAGAGTGAGCAGTGAGACCCCACTTACCGGAGAGTGCAAGTGCAAGGTCAGACTCTAAGACTTTTTAATTTGTTTGTTTTGTAGTGCTGTCGATGGAACCCAGGGCCATGGGCTTGCTAGGCAAGTGCTCTAGCATGGAGCCATAGCCCCAGGCCTTTATTTAAGATTTTCTTGGAGTTTTCATACTAAATTTTGTTTTTGGTAGTGGGAATCAAACTCAGGACCTCACACTTGCCAGGCAGGCACTGTGCCACGGAGCTGAATCCCTGGCCATATTAATTTTTGAATAGACTTGATTTTTTAACCAGGCATGGTGGCACACTCCTGCAATCCCAGAACCCGACAGGTGGAGGCAGGAGGATTGCACATTCAAGGCCATCCTGAGCGACCCAGTGACATAGCAAGACTGGGTTTAAAAATCTGAAGAAAAGGCCGGGGATGTGGCTCTGTGTAAAAGCCCTGGGGTTCAACCCCAGTGCAACCAAAACAAAGCGAAGGGAAGTGACTCGAGGTAAAGCAAAACAAAACCAAAAAACACCTGATTTTTCAGGACCGAAACACTGGAAGATAGCACAGCAACGTACAGCCCCAGCCTCCGGCTCTTTGATGGTTCCCATCCTACAGGGGTGGTGCGTCTATTATGATGGCAGTGTGAGATCATTAAACAACACTTGTATTTAGAGTTTTGTATTCATTTTGATTTTCACCATTACATTAAAGTAGTATTTATCTTGACTCCTGAGCTTTTGGTATCTCTTTAAACTTTACTCCAGAGGGCTCTCACCTGCCCTTTGGTCTGCCGCCTGCCTTCTGTAATGAAGTGTTAACTGTTTTGTTTGCCATGCATCCTTACCTCCTCCCTGGTCAGGGCCACAGTGCACGGCCCGTGTCCTGTCCTTGTTCTGCTCCGCTTCCCATGATCCTCTGAGCCAGGGCTTTGTCCTTTTGGGGACCTGCTGCTACCCAGGCCCTGCAAAGAGGCATGTGGTTCCTCCTGGAACTTTAGTCTGGGCTGAGAGCTTGGTGATACGTGGACTTGCTCTGGATCTGTGGCCCTGAATGTCACTTGCCTGGGACCAAGCCTCCCTCCTTGATAGGCCAGACATTTCTGGGTGCATAGAAACTCGCTGTAGTCCTGGAGGAAGTCCCATCACCCCCAACTCCCCATGGATAGTAGCATGTCACAGAGTCCTGCAGCGCTGGTGAAACCTCCCCTGACCGGAGCATGGCCACACCCCTTCCCCTGGCCCAGGCCTCCATCCTTGCTCCACTGGCCCAGTACAGGAGCCCCTTGGTGCCTCCTACCTGCTCTAGCCCCAGGCTCGCTGGCCTCATTCCTGTTCCAGGGCCAGAGCTTTTTCCCTCCGCAGGCCTCTGCACAGGCTGTTCCTTCTGCCCTGTGCACTGTTCCTCACATCTTCTCACTGCTGTTTCTTTCATGTAATTCGGGGCTCAGCACATGTCACTGCCCCCCCCAGAGAAGCCTTTCCTGATGACTCCCTCTGCCCTCTGCTGACAGTCTCCCGGCCCCTCCCAGACGTCCTCCACATGCGTCACCCTGACGCGCTTTTCAGTGTGATGGCTCCAACATAAACTCTGCTGTTTACTTGTTTCTTTCCTTGTTTATGTCTGTCTCTGCCCCGAGGATGAACGCTCCACGTTCCCCGCTGTGTCCCCAGGGCCTACCCAGGCCTGACATACAGTAGGCGGCTACTAGCTGCACTGAGCAGGGACAGGCAGAAGCACAGCCCCTGGGATGGGAGGCCTGGGCAGGCCAGGACGCCGGTATCTGCCTGTGGACTCCCACGGGGATTTGGGGCAATGCCAAGAGTAAGACTGAGCTAATGTGACCGTGAGAACATTTCTGGGTCTTCCTAGTCGAAAAGCCAGGAGGCCTGACAACAGAGCCAGGGGTCAGAGCAGGTGTGTCCCGCATCCACAGGACACTGCCACGTGCAGTGCTGGCCATAAGTGCACCGCACTGAGTAGTTGAAACTGAGCCCAAGGGCACAGAGAGTCTGGAGCAGACAGAGTGGCCTAGAAGGGACCCTGGATGTGGGAGGCGGCCCACAAGCCCCAGTTTCCTCATTCGGTTGGGTGAATTGTCCTGTTTCATTTTGAGCGAAAGTTTTTCTGAGCAGGCCACCTGCTTCCGTCTGTCTCTGGGGCTGCTGACCTTGCTTGGACTCAGGGACAGGAAGGAAGGGCTGGATCTGGTCTGGTGGACAGAGAAGAGGTGCCACCCTGGGAGGCCCAGGACCAGGCTGACGTGGTCCATCCCTGGCTGAGGTCACACCTCCTGTAGGACCGCCTGGAGCCTCCCCTTCTCTGTGCCCAGCATTTTTAATTGATGTATCTCCCCTGGGAGCGGACTGATGTGGAAGTCTGCCCCAGACCTGGCAGGCAAAGGGTGGTAGAACAGGGAGAAAATGGTGGGTCAGAGCACTCCTGGGCCGCAGAGCTAGACGCCCCACATCTCAGCGTCCCGGGCTTTGTGTCTCCCCTGCTATGTGGCCTTGGCTGTGATTCCTCCCCTCTCTGGGCTTATCTGATAAAAACAGCAAAGCACTATTGCCCTTGCAGGATTACATGAGAACTGGGATGACACATAGGAAGTCTCCAGCCTTCATCATTCCCAGTCATCGCTCAGCCTGCCTGTGGGCTGAAGGGGTCTCATGGACCCGGATGGTGTGCCTGAGCAACCTGGGCAGGCCAGGCTGGACCTGAGAGCCAGCCCATGGGCCTCTGGTCTGTTCCTCCTCCTCTATTATCACCCCTGAGCTCAGACCCGTAAGGGCATTTTAAACGTGAGTCACCTGGGGTGATACTGGTCCCAGAGCTCAGGATGCGGTCTCTGACCTTCCTGGGGACCTCTGGGCTCAGTGCATGTCAGGCGGGTACTGTGGGGCCCCTCACGCCCTGGCTCAGGCACTGAAAGGCCCCACTTCTGCTCCCCGAGACCCCATCAGCCTCAGCTGTCCCAATTCCTCAACCCAAAACCTCCTCTGGGTTTCCAGCTTTCCCATCCCGGGAGGCTGCTGGCCCTCTTGGTGGGCATCACTGGGCCAGGGGCAGGCAGGATGATGGAACCGGACAGTACCTCTCACTTGGGTTGAGTGGCCCTTGGCAGACCCCCACCTGGACCTTGCCCTCTTTTGCGAATGGGTTCAGGCCCTGTGTAGGTGAAACCCACCTGGGCCTGGCAAGTGGCAGAGCCTCAGCGGGTGACAGCTGTTCCTTCCTGGTTACCCACAGATCCTAAACATGGAGGACGATCAGAACTGGTACAAGGCTGAGCTGCGAGGAGCCGAGGGCTTCGTCCTCAAGAACTACATCCGTGTCAAGCCCCACCCGTGAGTATCAGCCTGGAGGCTGTGTCCCCCCTGGCTGGGCCAGGATGAGTCTGGCATGAGCTCCCTGGGGGCTGGACATTGCCAAACAGAGTCCACCAGGGTAGTTTGGGAGTTGTCTCAAGGATCTCAGTGTCCTGGGCCTGGGACCTGTGGGCCCTCAGAAGTCCAAGTGAGGTTCTTAGCAGGGGACCCACAACTGTGGCCCTCAGAACAGCAGGACAGTGTCAGCCCAGCATGGACCTGGGAGTCAAAGAAATCAACAAAACTAACTGGGGAAGTTTTAAATAACAGCTGAACCAGCGCTGGGTCATCTACCAAGGCTGGCACGGCTCAGGGGCTCAGCAAGGGTGAAATGGGGACAGAAGATTCAGAAGAGTCCTGTCCTATGACAGGCCTGGAAAATGCTACATGGGAAGCCGGTCAGCATCAAGGTGGCTGACCAGGGCAGGCTTCTCAGAGGAGGTGGCTCCTCAGAAGTCAGGGCTTGGAGGATGTGTAAGAGCTGGCTTTGTAGAAAGTATTCCTAGGAGAGGGTCAGGCTGAGCCAAGGAGGGTGGTGAGGGGAACCTGAGGCTTTGGGGACAGACAGGGCTCAAGGTGCTGGGCAGCCACGGAGTGTTACCGGTGGGACAGAACTCAGTCAGATGTGCGGGCAGGTGCCAGCACCAGGCAGGCGAGAGGGGCAGATTGGGAGCTGTGACGCTGTGTGGCTTGGGGTGCAAGCTCTTGGGTGAGGCCCGGAGGGTATTTCCTCTTCATCTTTCTTTGAATTATTTTTTAACCTGCCACCACCTCTAGCTTCCTGTGCTAGGCATGGCTCATCTCCCTGGTCCTCAGCCACTCTGCCGCACTCCAGAATTTCCAGCCCTCTCCACAGGGTCCAGTCTCCAGGCAGGGGGAGGGGTGAATCATGGGGAAGCCAGGTGGAGAATTCAGTCCTGGCTGTGAGGCAGGACCTGGCAGTGCTGAGTCAGGGCACAACTGGAAGCCTGGGGGAGGGCTGAGGACCATGGACTGGGCGGTGGGTGCCTTCAGTGGAGGAGCTGGCCTGGGGAGGGGGCAGAGAAGCCCAGAGCAGAGTTCGCTCGCTAGGCTGGCTAGAGTTAGGCATGCCCAGCAAGACCTCTGAAGTGTACTTGGGAGCCATAGAGGATTTCATCCTCTGATACCTGATCCATTGCACGGGGCCTTTCCCAGGTGCTAGCCCCAGGTTCATAACCTCAGCACCTGCAAAGTCCCCAAATAGCCTCAGGGAACTCCAGCTCTGCACCTGACTGAGTCCCAGGGTGCAGGGGTGGGGGTGGGAAAGAGCTGGCACCTGGCTCTCTCCTTCTTGAGCACTCACTGTCACCCTACCTGTCCATATAAGACAACTACTCAGAGCTGGCTCCATAGGGAGGAGGCACCTGACCCAGCTGAACTGCCAGGGGATTAGGTACAGAGAGGGCTTTCCAAAGGAGAGTGTGGCCCACTGGGGAAGCTGGCGTAGAAATTCACCAGGGAGGGAAGGGAGGCGAAGGGTTGGAACTGCTCATCACAGCAGCAGGGCGGCAGCAGCAAACCTTTGCATGAAGCAGCGCACTCACCATACAGGAGCATCATCTGAGCTGTCTTAGGCAGACAGGCTGGGTGACTCACCCAAGCTCACAGTGGGGAGGAGGTGGAGTGGAAACAAGGCGGGTTGTGTGGTCCCCGGGGAAGCCAACGGAGCAGCTGGGGGCTGAGGGGCTGGGGGGCGGAGGCAGGGACAGGGACTTGCTCTGCAACCTCGTGTGCAGAGGGAGGGCGCTCGAGGAGGTGATGGAAGAGTGGGGCCTGCGTGGAGGGAAGAGGTTCCTCAGGGGAGAGCAGTGTTTTACCAGGTCTTCCGAGTCACCAGGGAGGCTGTGGGGAGGGTGCTCCTTGGAGTGGGTGGGGCGACACCCTCTGCTGCCCACACACTGATATCTCCTCTGGGTTCTGCGGCTTCTTCAAAGGCCCCTGGCCCCTCAGGAAACTCCCAGCCCACATACAGCTTTGGAGCTCCCTCTCTGCAGGGGCTGGAACCTCTTGTTTTTACTGTGTGGACAGGTAGCAGCCTGAGCCTCTGGCCTGGGGCTCACCAGGCTGAGGGGGCAGACGCAGTGCTCTGGTGTCCCTAATGCCACAGAACCCTGGTTGAGCCCTCACCTTCAGTGACCACCTTCCCAGCCTTGCCTTGCAGGGCGTACCACCAGGATGTGAGTGCCCCCCAACTAGGGACAGCAGTGAGCTAGAAGCCTGTGTCTGGGGGTGTAGGCCCCCAGAAGCGGCCCTGGAGACACCGACCCGGAGGAGTGAGGTTGTAGACAGAGAAAGTCAGGAGGGAGGTGGTATGGAGGTCTCTGTGCTGTGGCACCCGGAGCACTGATTGGCTAAGGGACAGTGCCCCCAGCCTGCTCCAAATACAGACCAATGCCTGGGGCCAGGTCTGTGTGAGCAGCCTCAGCAGGGAGCTGTGAGAGTAGGGCCAGGGGCACGGCCCCAGCAGGAGAAGCTGACACTGCGGCCTCTACGGAGCTCAGGAAGCATTTGCTGGAGGTGGGCAGGGAAGCAGGACTGAGGACAGAGGTCCTGGGTCCTGCCTGTGGCCTGTCGTAGTCTCATCAGACTCTGCTAGCTGCTGTGGGTCAACACAGACATCAAAACCAAAGCTGGGCAATGATTCCGGAGCCCAGAAGCCCTCGCCCCTCCAGTGGTGGGTGTCTGTCCATCTGGGCTGCGGTAAAAGAAGACCATGGGCTGAGAGGCTTAGAAACAGCACACATTTACAACAGTTTGGGGTTGGATGTCCAAGGTCGAGGCGCAGGCAGACGCAGTGCTTGGTGAGGGCTACTCCTTGCTTCATGCATGGTCATCTTTTAGCTGTGCCCTTATATGGTAAGGGGGCAAAAGAGCTCTCTGAGTTCTTTTCTATAGGTACTTAGTCTGCGTTCTGTTGCTATAACAAAACACCTGAGACTGGACAGTTTATAAAGGGTGGAGATTTACTTGGCTTGGTGTGGAGGCTGGATGCCCACAAGGGTAGTACAGGCAGTGGCTTAGTGTCTGGGAGGGAGGGCCTTCCTGCTGCATCCCATGGTGAACCAGCAGGTAGGCCGGAGTGCTACATCTACAGCAAAGCTGCTTCTTCTGTAACCCTTTAAGTCAGTAATCCACACATGGATTGGTCCATTCATGGGGACAGATCCTTCACGACACATCCTGAAGGTTCCATTTCTCAAGACTGCTGCTTTGGGGACCAAATTTTCAACACATGAACTTTTAGGGGATAAATGTGAACCATGGCAGGCTCTGGTACCATTCATGAGGGTTTCTACTCACCTCCCAAAGGCTCTGCCTCTAAAACCCATCCACAAGGATCGGGGTTGGAATGCAGTTTTCACAGTTTTGGTCATCAGGGAAAGAAATTTATACTTTTTTTTTTTTTTTTTGTCTTTTTCATTTTTATCGGTATCGGGGATCGAACTCACGTCCGCCTGCTTGCAAGGCAGGTGCTTATGCCGCTGAGCTAAATCCCCAGCCCCTAGGAATTTATACTTATGAAAAGGTCCGGGTGGCCTGAGTCTGCACAACCCTGGAACAGGTACACGGAGAGACCTTTGCTCACCGGATCGTGGCCACTATTGTTTTGTTTTATTTGATTGATCCCAGGACTTCAAGCATTGTAGACAAATGCTGTATCACTGAGCTGCATCCCTAGTCCTGTTTTATGATTTCTGATTTTGAAGAGTCTACTGTAGACTAGGTGGGATGGCTCATACGAGTAATCCCAGCCCTCAGGAAGCTGAGGCAGGAGGATCACTGTGAGTTGAAGGCCAGCCTGGGGCTATATAGTGAGCTCAAGGCCAGCCCAGAATATATAGTGAGGCCCGGTCTCCAAAAAAGAAAGAAAAAATAGGAAGTCTCTGATCTAAGCTAGTCACGGTGGTGCAGGACTGTGAACTGTAATTTTAAGTACTTGGGTGGCTGTGGCAGGAAAAGCAGAAGTTTAAGTCTGACTTGGACTATATAGCAAGACCCTGTCTCAAAAAAAAAAAAAATAGCAAAAAGAACCTGCCATCTAAAATGGAAAAGTTAGACTGAGGTTGGCTGATTTGTGGTTCAGTTGGAGTCCAGTTCTCCTGTTTGCCTCAGTGTGCTATGTTTGCCTAATGTGATATGAAAGGCTGGGTGAGCTCTGAAGCAAACACCAGGCTGCGTCTCAGCTCCTGCTTGCCTCACCTCATTGCACTGTGCCTTAATTAGCCCATCTGTAAAATGGGTTTGGCCATACCTCTTATGTTTCTGGTCTACCTGAAAGACCAGAGGGGTTGAGGCCCTGTATTTGGGTGAGGGTGGGAGCTGGCCTCGGTGCCTCAGTGCCCCTCTCTCCACAGATGGTACTCGGGCAGGATTTCCCGGCAGCTGGCTGAAGAAATCCTGAGGAAGCGGAACCACCAGGGCGCCTTCCTGATCCGGGAGAGCGAGAGCTCACCGGGCGAGTTCTCTGTCTCTGTGAAGTGAGCTTGCCCCTGCTGGGGGGGGGGTGCACAGACAAGGGAGGGGGGTAGCTGGGGGGACCCCAAGGCAGTCAGAGCAGGGGTGCTCTGAGAGGCCAGACTTGGTGCTAGGCTGTGCGATCCAGATGTCACTGTGTGAGCAGTAAGTGGCCATGGGACTTCCCCTCAGAGAGCAAGGGATGATGGTATAAGTGAGCGGTGGAGACTGGGCAAGGGACAGGCAGGTGCCCAGGGCAGGCTCTGGGTGAGTCCCACTCTGTGGTGATGTCCCTGTGGCCGGTTGGCCTGGAGTTCTTATTCTGGTGCTACCACTCTGAGGCTGTGTGACATTGGGCATGTCCTCTGATCCTGTTTCCTTCCTTATAAAGTAGGTTATTACAAGAATGGAGACACAGGGTTCCCTCTGCTCAGGCGGGGAGAAAATTCTACCCTATTTAGAACTGTGCCTGGCATTGTGACAGGATGTCCTCTTAATTGGAG